CAAAAACAGTACTAATGATACAGAAAGGAATTTTCAGCATTCAGTGCAATATTGCATCCAATTTACTCAAAAAACGACAAAAAGTATAATAAAAATAAACATTACATAATAAAAATAAAACGTTGTTATAGCAGCTACATAGCAAATTACTGTATGTGATACGGAGAAAAATATGCATAAAGTACAAAATTGTAGTAATAATAGTAATAACAACTAAAATAAAATAGTAAGTTATAATTAAACGATAGAAAGGGTGACACCATAGAATTACAGAAAGATGAACAATGAAAGGGTCGATTCACTGTGGTAATTACATAGTAAATTATGTGTTTCACGTCTAACAGAGTCTTCGTCACATAAAATACGGGCGAAATACGGTATTGTAGAATTTCTGTACTTAGTGGTACGAGCATATAACTTCTTATATTGACTTCTCGTCCTACCTGATGAGATAGAAGGGGATAGTTGTGAATAAAGGGAGTGCAGAGGGTCTGACAGTACAGCCTTTGCCCATTTTGTACAGGAATTTGTGTTTCTCGAATATAGTATTGGCGAGCTCACGCAGTGGCATACCACAAGCCCTACTCACAGCATTTAATACTCTTCGTAATATGATATAGTCTTCTTTGAGAAGCCCAGGAAAGATTATGGGATGGAGTGCAATAGGTAAAATACAGGAGTTTAAAAATTGCAAAACTGAAGGTTGGTTGATACCTGATTGTCTTAACTTTTTAATGTAAAAGGTAAGACGAAACATCATCTTAGAGATAGATAAGATGTGGGATGACCATGAAAGGTCAGAGGAAAGAACTAATCCAAGGTATTTAATGCTTGACTTGGTTTCAATTTCCGTGCCATCTATGCTGCAGGCATCATGCGAACTGACTAGTTCATGTAAGTCACGTGGATGCTTGAAAGTAAAGTCAACTGCCTGACATTTGGAAGGATTTAACATAAGACCATCTGACTTAGACCACTTGCTGATGTCCAACAGAAAGCTATTAAGTTTGGAGCAGTCAGACTCGGAAGTGATAGCAGTGATACAGTCAGATCATCTGCATATTTGACAATGTTAGTTTCGTTTAAATGAGGCAGGTCGTGTAGGAAGAAAGAAAAAAGAAAAGGAGAGAGGACGGCACCTTGAGGAACACCGGCTTTTGTAAGTGAGACAGAAGAAGATTTGCCATTACATACAGTATACTGTATTTTATCAGAAAAATAAGAATGGAACCAACTCCTAGCCCAGGATCCTGCTTGCGTCAACAAAAGCTTATTTAATAAAAGGCTCCTAGGTACAGAGTCAAAAGCAGATGTGCAGCCTAGGAAAGCACCACGAAAATATTTAGCATTTTTGTCTAAACAAGAAACAACATTATGATATAAGATCACCGCAGTATCCAAGGCACTTCTACCATGTTTATATGCAAATCGTTTAGAATCATTAAAAGGAGAAAGAAGTTAATCAGTGAAGCTTTCTTTATCGACTCAACTTTGTACACGTGCAGTCGTAATAACGTGACACGCCTATATCGAGATATGGAAAGTGGCAACAAACACAAAAGGGAAGTTGGAGAGACAGAATAAAGAGAGAAAATAAATGTAAGACAGATTGTAAAACCGTTTGACTAAAATTCATGTGTTTATGAGCAATAAATTTGCTCGAAACCCCATCCAGTTGTTTAATACAGTATCGCCGTGTGATATTTAAAATAAACTTATCTAATACGGAATTGCATTCTACCACAGTGGCCAAGTTCTACACTTATGTCAGGAATTTATTCTGCTCTCCATCTAAGATTGCATAAATTTTATGTTTTTCCTTAATAAAGACCCATCACCAAGTCTCTTTTCTTCAGCCCTTACTCCATTAGTTGGTGTCTATAAAAAACAATGTGAATCTTAGAGAATAAAGATATTTATAGATAATGTTTTAGGTTTTGTTTAGTCTCGGATTTTTTTAATATTCTCATTGTGAAAATTAAACTAAGATATCAAAGCGAATTATGTTGTTTTCGACTAGACTTTCAGGCTTTATTCCAACGTGCATATCATTATGTGTATAAAAAATCCAACCAAGGACGGTGAATATGGGGTGAAATATAAGTGCTAATCGCTGTACATATGTCACTAATAACAACAATTATAAAAAATAGCGATAATTATAATATTCAGGTCAATTTAAACAAAATTACAAGCAGTTGACACAGGTGGCGATAAGAACAATGAAAGCGATGTGAGATAGTGTAAACAATTCAATAATTGAATAGGGTAGAACACTTATAAAAATAGAAATTATGTAACTCTAAACGTGAATGACATAGATAGTCGGAGTTCAATAAGATATGATATGTGCGTTGGTGACACAGAGGTTAGCACTCTCGCCTACCATGCACATGGTCAGGGGTTCGATCCTCTGCCGACTCACACCTGATATCAATTGGTCGGCCTGCGGAATTTGGGCTACCGATATCACAAACTGAAAATTCCATACCTATACCAAAATATTGTGTGGAATCAAGCTATAATCAAAAAAATATGAAAGGGGTGAAGAATGAAGGACTGTGAGTAGTTGTAATTATTTTCTTACATTTAACTAGACCAAGGGAGAGAAAAAAACAGAACACGCTTCTTCTGTATGCAAAGACTAAGTTTAATATATATGTAAAACTTGGGCACTGTGGGAGTAAGCAATTCCATTTTAGTTTTTTTTATTAGATACATACCCTAGTAAATAATACTGTTTCACTGTGTGATATATCTAATAAACAAACTAATATGGAAAGACTAGGTTTATTCTCCCGAATTCCTGTAGCTTTGTTTATGTGTACCAGATAAGTTTCGGTAACCTTTGAAAGATTCTGTGGAATGCTACAGATCATCTTAGGACGGCTTCTCCTGTCAATTTAATGACCATTATGAATCAACTGACACAAAAAAGCGTCTTACAAATTTTATTTGGCCGTTTCTGTACCATGGGGGAAGGTGTTCGGTAATACTTTTTCTAAGCTGTCTGGCTTTTAGCTTTATTTAGCTTTGTTTACAAAAGCAGCTAAATTTTTGAATACGTATGGAACTGGAGCACTTAGATAGCTTATCTTTCTTACCTTTGTTATCTGATAACTGATCGGGAAAAATAAACAATAAGTGGCAGAATTATAAGTCAGTTTTGTGGCTCATGATATAATCTTAGATGCAGAACTTCAATGACCACTTCCATACTGCATCGGAGTTTCAGAAACAACTACTTCTTCTTAAATATGATCAAATTTTATATCTGAAACTATGTAAACTAGAGTTAAGCCTGAGGAATATCTGGTGGAGGACAGCGTCAGCTTAGATGTCTCGTTTTAATTTAGTTTAGTTACGTGATTCTAATGGCATAGATTCAATTAAAATCAGAAACATTAGGGTTTCTTTTCAATTGAGAAGCTCAGACACCTTAGATCTGTCCGTCTCTCTGTTTTCGAATAGAACTTTGCACCGATGTGTGGCAGTTCATGTCGCCACACTCCATGTAGCGCACAAAGCAAGAGAAGAAGTTAGAAGAAATGCATAATAGAGACAGTAAACAGAGGTGTGAGGCAAAGTAATAGTAATAACGAAGAACAATAAAGTTTCATTGGAAATCATAGGTCACAAGGAGTGAATGCATCTGCGCCAGTGAGAACGATTTTGAGCCATATCACCGATTGTTTCCGACCATTAGTTTTTACCGTCCCAGGACCCTAACCAGGAAGTCTATACCTTCATACGTGGCTTAGATTAACTGTTGTATATTTCATTGACTGGTGCCATGTTTTTGTTTGACCTCTGCTAGCTCGTTTCCAGCCTGACCCTATATCAGCTAACACTGCCCATCGAGGAAGGCGATGACTAGGCTAGACATGCTTAACACATGTCCTAACCATCTCAGTCAAAGTAATTTCACAGCCTCGTTGATTGATTTCTTCTCCTTACCTACCAATCGACCGAGGCCTTACTCACCTTATTATACCACTTCACACGGGAGGTGGAGCTTAGGCACCTATGATCAAAGACAGCTTAGACCACGTTTCGAATGATAATTTAGTAATGAAATAAATACTTCAATGTTTCCCTTTATCCTGACGAACTGTTAAGAACTTTTCGCTTAGAATTTCTTTGTGTAAAAGATGTCAATCTATATTATGGTTTATGAATGTTTAAACTCAACACTGTCCTCTTGAACGAATTAAAATGTAAGAGTTAAAATAGTGATCTTCTTTGGATGGCTGATTAATCAATGAAATTTTTGAATAATTCCTAAGACACATACTTCTCATCTTGACATTAAGTATATCTTTCACACTGTTAATAATGGCTTATCAGTAGACAATATCAGCCATTTTCAAAATGAAACAGACATATTTTCGTGATGTTGCTGTTTAAAATTTAGACATTAAAAATACAGTGTACAGTGATAATTATTTTGTTTTAATTTATAGGCAAACTTATGTCACGAAAGTTACCTAAAGGTAGACAGACCTCATTATATTGTGATTTTCTTTGATTGTTGAGATACTGATGATGTTTCTGTGGAAAAAAACTTCATAAAAATTGCATCAGTTACATCCTTGTGCCTGTGTAAGGTAATAATTTGAATGCGAAATTTTTTAAATAATTAATTATTTTACAGGATTCATCATGAGCTGACATTAGTTAGAGAACCATTGGAAAACCTAAGAGTACTAGGCGACTGTTTCGTCCTAGTTTGGGACTCCTCATCAATACGCACCCATCGGGATCCGAGCCCAGGACCTTCTGGTTACATGGCAAGCTCGTATACCATTAAGACACTGGGACCCGATCCAATGGCCCATTAATTTTAATATATATTTACTTTCACACACTGCTTATTTAAGTATCCGTTTTGTTTGAAAGCAATACATTAGCTACTATTACAGAAATGATATACAATACTTATTGCCACTGTTTTTTCTAAAACATATTCATTTAAATTGTTGAAAATAAAATTTTTTTAGGCTGATGGTTTTCATGAAAACTGTTTCAAATTTTGGCAACCTGAAGAGACAAACAAAGAATATGATATTGACTGGAATTGGTTGCATAAATTCATTTTGAAAGGTCTAGAAATTTTATGCCGTGCTTCTAAATGGGAGCATCTTATACATTTAGGCTTAAAAGTTGTCGGCATTTTAGGGTAAGTGTAATTTACTTTTGGTATAGATAATGTTTCTGCTATTTCAATAATCTAATAGGATTTATCCTTTGTGTAAAACATTTCGTTAATTTCAGAGATTTTATAGCATCTAAATTGAAATAAGATTTGGATAATTTACAGAGCTGATGAGTTTCTGAGTGCAATCTAAGCGACAACTACAGTTGACAGCTGTAGCACTGAGACTTATGTAGTCCAGTTGCTGTAAAAACCACTTTACTGACCGGATCTGCTTATTTCGTCTACGTTTACGTGTGCTTCAGCAGTTTTGTTTAAGCGCTTACAAGTATTTATTTCAGTGCTTGTCATGCTGAGTTGAAAAATGATGGGAAAGATTTTTTGCTGCAGTGGATGTGTTTGGTTGTCTCTTCTGAAAGAATACGTTAATTGAGAGGTTAACTTCAGTGTGAGGTGAACTCTACAAATTCAGTATAGAGGTAATGCCCATCCTTTATGGTGCCTATCACTGTAACTGGTTATCTCTGGAGGAAGTGTGAAAATATTAGGTAGCTGGAACAAGAATTCTTAGAAGCATAGTACTCATGTAACGACAGAGGACAAGGACTAGGCAACAGATCGTTTATTGAGAAAATCAAGAGATATTAATAGATTTTCACATACATTGCTATTCTTTATTGTTAGCAGAGAGGCAACGTCTTCTGACTCGTTTTCTTGCTGAAGGTTATTCTGCCATCTTTTTGTGGCCCTTTCTTAGACAGTCCGGTTTGAGAATCATACCTGCCCACGTCAGGTCTTCTGTGATTGGTTGTTGAGTTCCTCAAGGTTAAGCTTTGTTCTTGTTTTTTCTCCTGACCCCGATTCAGGATCTAAATTGTTGCTTACGATTTACGCTTGCAGATAGCTTCCATCACACTCAGACTAGCTTATAATAACAGGCATATAGATACTGATGTAATTTATCCCTCAATGAAGAGTAAGTCATACGGTGAAGAGATGTTCGATATCAATACAAATGGATACAATCCTGAAAACATCTCCAGAGACAGCAAATCAGATTCACAGTCATCAGAAGAAGCGAATATTCCATTCATAGAGATGTTCGGAAGCTAACTTCGCAATGAATTTAGCATTCAAGATATTACATAGAAAGACAATGAAAGCTTCTCAGTCTCATCACCCAATAAACTGTGCTCAATTTCTCCCTCCGAAGCCACCAAACCTCGTCAGATACTAGCTTGCTAGGCTACTAGCTTACTAGTTTTCTCGCCGGTCCCAAGCCCGGGTAAAGAGGGAGGGTTGGGGCGTGGTGCTAGCAACTCCACCCCTGTAAAACAACCAAATCGCTACAGAAACTTCAACGAATAAATATATTAAAAATTCTAAAAACATAAGCAATAGCCTTACTTTTCGCTGGAATCGGGGAAGTGAAATGACGCAGGCTGGTGAAAGCCTTCGGGAAGCCAGTCAGCCGATGTGCCTTCTTTCGATGAAAGCAAAAGTAAGGATGGGTACCTGGAATGTTCGTACAATGTACGAAACTGGAAAGGCTGCCCAGATAGCCGCTGAAATGAGAAGGTACAGAATAGAAGTGTTGGGAATCTGCGAAAGCAGATGGAACGGAACTGGAAGGTGCCAACTACCTACTGGAGAGACAGTAATCTTTCCGGCCACCCAGAGGACAACCATGAGCACACCGAGGGAGTGGCCATCATGATGTCACCAACAGCAACCAAAGCTCTCATGCAGTGGGAACCAATCTCCTCCAGGATAATGACAGCCAGGTTCAACTCAAAAGGAAGGAAAGTTACAGTCATTCAATGCTATGCGCCTACAAACGTCTCAGAACAAGAGAAGAAGGAGGCGTTCTACAGACAACTACAAGCAATAATGGACAACGTCCCAAATGGCGATATCAAAATCCTGATGGGCGACATGAATGCGAAGCTGGGAGGAGACAACACAGGAAGAGAACTCACCATGGGTCGTGAGGCCCTCGGCGAAATGAACGACAATGGTGAACTCTTCTCAGACTTCTGCGCCTTCAATGATTTGGTGATTGGTGGTAGTGTGTTCAAACACAAGGATATACACAAGACGACATGGATTTCACCAGATGGAAACACCAAGAACCAAATAGACTTCATCTCAATTTCAAGAAAGTGGAGACGGAGCCTACTGGACACAAGGTCAAGGAGAGGAGCAGATGTGGGTTCAGACCACTATCTAGTAGAAGGGACTTTCAAGGTGAAACTAAAAGCCTCGAGGATAGCTGGGGATAGGCCACAATGCAAGTTCAACACTCAGAAACTGAAGGACACAACCACAAAAGACACTTTCACTGCAACTGTCAGAGCAAAGCAGGAAACACTACGCGACATCACTGAAGAATCATGCGTGGAAGAACATTGGAAGTCTCTGAAGGCGATTCTCAACGAAACGTGTTCAACGGTTCTAGGAAGAAAGAAGAGACAAGACAAGGAATGGCTCTCAACGGACACTTGGAAATTAATAGAAGAGAGGAGAATGGTGAAAGAGAAAATGATTCAATGCAAGGACGGACAGGAGAAGGAGACGCTGAGCTCAACTTACAAAGCACTGGACAAAGAAGTGAAGAAGAGTGCTAGGAAGGACAAAAGACGATTCTACGACAACCTCGCCACTGAAGCTGAGAAGGCAGCAGGCAAAAGGGACCTGAGGACACTATATCAGATAACCAAATCTCTATCCGGGAAGAGATCAACACAAGCGAAACCTATAAAAGACAGCCAAGGGAACCCAATTACCAAGGAAGAAAAACAGATTAAACAATGGGCGGATCACTTCAAAGGACTCTTGAACCGACCATCACCTGCAACCCGTCCAGAAATACCAACAACAGCGCGCACACAACTGCAAGTTGACACCAATCCTCCAACGAGAGCTGAAGTCTTGAACGCAATCAAGCTTCTGAAAGCTGGAAAAGCAGCCGGACCAGATGGAATACCCCCTGAAGCACTGAAAGGGACCCAGAGACGACAGCAGACATGCTGACTCCATTATTGCAAAAGGTCTGGAAGGAGGGAAAGGTGCCTACTGACTGGAGGAAAGGTTACCTCGTGAAACTACCAAAGAAGGGCGACTTAGGACTCTGCAAGAACTGGCGAGGAATCATGCTCCTATCGACGCCAAGTAAAATCCTGAGTCGCATCATCCTGGAGAGATTAAAGGACGCACTGGAGACAGAACTCCGACCAGAACAAGCTGGATTCAGGAAAGGCAAATCATGTACTGACCAAATTGCAACTCTACGCATCATCATCACAGAACAAAGCATGGAATGGCAATCAAACCTCTACCTCAACTTTATAGACTTTGAGAAGGCCTTCGACAGCGTTGACCGTGAAGTAATTTGGAAATTACTCGAGTACTATGGCGTACCCCAAATATTCATCAACCTTATTCAACAGCTGTACGACAACGGCACATGTCAAGTGATCCACAACGGAAAACTCAGCGAGGCGTTTGGAGTAAACACAGGAGTCAGACAAGGGTGCCTGCCTTTTATCACCAATGATATTCCTAATTGTGGTGGACTGATGATTATGCGTCAGACAGTGGGAAACGAGAAGACAGGGATATCCTGGACCGACGTGAAGAACCTAGAAGACCTGGATTTCGCGCGTGGATGATTTATGTTTGATGTCACACACAATCGAAGACTTACAAGCGAAAACCGACAAACTGGTCGAAGAAGCAGCGCGAAGACAGGACTCCAGGTGAACATAGACAAGACGGAGGTTATGAAAATAACCAACCAACAACAGCAACAGACCACATCCAACGTCAATCACCATCAACGGGAGGGATTTGAAAGAGGTTACTTCATTCACTTATCTAGGGAGCATTGTCTCAACTACAGGAGTGGAACGGACGAGGATGTCAAATCGAGAATCGGGAAGGCGAGAAACACATTCATCAACCTGAAACCAATCTGGAAATCTTCGTCACTCAGCCAACATCAACAACAAAATTCGGATTTTCAATACAAACGTCAAGTCAGTCAGTTCTTCTATACGGATCAGAAACTTGGCGGGTGGGTCACAAAGAATATTTCCAACAGCCGTTGCAGACCTTTATCAACAACTGTCTTCGCTCTATACTGAAGATCAGATGGCCGGAAAGAATCACCAACAAGGAATTATGGGAACAAACAAAGCAAGAACCAATCGCCCAACAAATATGCAGGAGAAAGTGGAGATGGATCGGACACTCGCTGAGGAGACCGCTGGGTGACATCGCGCGCCAAGCCCTCGAGTGGAACCCGAAAGGGAAGCGGAATGTGGGACGTCCAAGGGTGACATGGAGGAGATCGTGTGAAGAGGAGTTGAAAGAATATGGACTAACATGGATGCAGGCGAAAAGTACAGCAGAAGACAGAAGCAAATGGAGACGTGTAGTTGAAGCCTATGTTCCACTAGGAACCCAAGGGAGCAATAATAATAATAAACTATATAATGTTACATCACTGTGTTATATGAAATCGGAGTATTCTATTGTTTAGTTGCATTTTAACATCAAGCATAAATACCATTCTTTTATCAGTGAAAAACGCTATATTACGAACAGCGTTGTTAAATTATTCCTACTGCACTCTTCAGCTGCTGATTAACTGGAAATTAATTTAGATGTCAGTCGTATTTCTTTTTAACTCTTATAGATTTTTATGTAAAATGTTGCTTTATTTAACTCGACTTCACGCAAATGTGTTCCTTAGGCTAACTGGGTCTTCATTTGTATCAGAGATCTTAGCTAGTTCATCTTAGCTAAATGTCCGTGCTTTAGTACCTTTTGTGACTACAATATGTTAGTTTCCTCTTCATAAGTAAGATGATACTGAATGTTTTACATTTCTACGTTTTAATGGAACTTCATTTAATTTTCTTTATTGTTTAAATGGCAACATAGTAAAACTTTCCAATATAGAACCTAGGGGAACATAATATCAGTGCATGTTTATAAACGTGGTAAGTATCTATGAATTAGCTAAGCATTAAATAAACCCAGTTACTCTTCTGCACAAATGTCAGATGTTTTATCGTTACATTCATTCTTTACTAATATTTCAATTTAGAAAACGTTGGACACCAAGTGTTTTACCTTTGGTTATCTTTGGACAAATACAAATATTAAAGCGCTTGAAGAAAGAAGAGAATCTGCCTGTTGAAAGTGATGCTTTATCAAGGAATATTAAGCCATGGCATTTGGATTTCACCAATCCACTTATTCGTTCACAAATGCAGTTATATTCAGCTTGGTATCATTTTAATATTTTACCGGTAATTTAATAAGCTTTTATTTATTATCCAAAAAAATGTTTACTTCATTCATATCAAGTAAATATAACAATAACTTGTTGGTAGATATATATGCGTATCATGAATTTTTCATTCACTATATACAATTGAAGAAAAACAAGATTAATCTCTAAAGCTCAAGTCAATTCGCTGTATTTATGGCAGATTTAAACTGTCTCTTATCTACATCTTTAACTAATAATCCTGTAAGAGATCAGTAGTATTTGAATATGTATATAAATAAACATATAATATTTTGCTTTAAAGCACTGATAAAATTTGATCGGTGAAGTGTTTACGATTGTTGCAGAGATTAACTATAACATGTCAAATTGAAGAACATTGAAATGATCATTGAAAGACTAACTAAGCAAATTCAAAGAAATCTAGTACCAATAGTTTTTTCTTTGATAGTTTAATCTCTCTTTAAATTGATTGTTTACCAACATTTCAGGCAGATGCCAAGTTGAAATATTTCATCTGATAATATTTAAATTCTAGTAAACGAAAAGTCCCATCATATATTTATATTCAAGAGTTAGTTTGTAGAGATTGGATTTGCTTTTCAAGTTTTACTAAGGATTGATATCAATTAGGGAATCATTGAAAACCACGGATTACTGGACTGCTGTTTCATCCTAGTTTGGGACTGTCCAGAAGTACGCAATCATCGGAGTTCGAACCCAGGACCTTCTGGTTACAAGATGAGCTCGCAGACCATTAAGCCACTGGTATCCGATCCAATGGTCCGCGAATTTCAATCACTACCAATTCGTGACATGGAGCGCCCATTGGCGAATGTCATCGGTGCGTATCTATCCTCATCTCGACCTGCTGTACCTCATTGGTCACGAATTTTCAATAAAACCTAGGAAACTACATACCTGAGTAGGGCCAGTCACTAGTGGGTATCAGATTGTTGGTTTGCAGGGATTTGATTGGTTTCAGGATATCATTATGAACTTACATCGGTTAGAGGACGACTAGAAAACCAAGAAGTACTGAACAGCCAGCTGTTTCGTCCTAGTTTGCGACTCATTGGCTCGTACCCACTGGGGTTTGAACCAGTAACTTCTAGATACAAAGCAAACTCATGGGTTATTCAGCCACTGGAATTCGACTCAAAGACCAACCCATGAAATCTAACCCCTGCTAATATATATATATATATATATATATTAACAAGAGCTAATAAGTGATCATGATAAGTAATAAAGTTCTGTGGATGAAATAGGAAAGTTAGAATCAATAAAATAGTGTTCGCTAGTTAGAAAGAAACAGTATTTTGCCAGCGAGACAACTGTTTATGCATTTTGTTTTAAAAACAAACTAGCATTTCGTTCAAAAGGAATAAGCCCAAATAAAATAGAGATAAAAGCAGAATATCGTGTATATAGATCATAATATCTGATTGAGATCTGGGTAGTATGAAATCTTCTTGTCAAAATACATTAATTTTATTGTCAGCATCACTTGAAGCCTGTGGTTGCAAATGACAAAATATTTCTTTTTCAATTTAGTAAACAATGACAGACAGGAGAGTTGTATCTGATACAACGATGACCACCAAAAAAATAACTGTTTTTCTACACAGTCAAAAAAATGACACCAACTAGAATAAAAATTACGCTGGATAAGGCAAGATTTGTAATTTCTTTCTGAATACCAAAGAAAAGTTGTCTGAAAGTTTTGTTACTGTTTAAAAGGTTGATTATCCTTTTGTGAGGAAAAGAAATTTCATTATGTAGGGAACGTTTTCCTGCAGTGGTTATTTATTCTCTGGCAAAATTTGTGAACAAATACGTTTATTTCTTGCGTATTTGTAAACAAGCATTACCGCCACTGTTTTGTTAATCATTTCATTTCAGTAGTACACACTCATTGAGGCTCGAACCCAGGACCTTCCAGTTGCAAGGCGAGCTCGTAGACCATGAAGCCATTAGTGGTGGCTAGTGTCACGCTTTATCATGAAATTACAGAAGATGAGAATCATGGGCCATTTGATCAGGTACCAGTGACATAATGGTCTACAAGCTTGGCTTGCAACCTTTCTTTTATTTACAGCTTGATTCCATACCGTATTGTTTGGTACAAGTATGGAATTTTCAGCATATGATATCGGTAGCCCAAATTTCGCAGGCCGACCATAGATATCAGGTGTGCGTCGGCAGGGGATCGAACCTCGGACCATGTGCATGGTCGGCGAGAGTCCTAACCACTGTGTCACCGACGAGGACCAGGGCTCACACTCCGGTGCGTGCACACTCCTGAAGAGTCCCAACGTAGTATAGAATGGTTTCCAGTACTCCCTGCAGGTTTTCCAATGGTCCTCTAACCGATGTAAGCTCATAATGAACTCCTGTGAACAATCAAATCAGGTCCCTGCAAACGAACACTTGGACATATTTGAATATTGAATGCATTCGTAGATATTATGTTTGTGACTGAAATTAAGGATATTAATTTACTTTTTACCAGCACATTGGTTATTCCTAAAAATATATATATATATATACATTGTGATTAAAAAATATTTCACAGGTATATCTAACCTGGTAAAGTGCTAAAGATTTAAAACAAATAAACAACTAAGAACTTAGATACTCTTATTTCGGACCACTTGACTGATGCATGTAACACTGAAATCGTACCCTAAAATATGCTTTGGCTATGAAATATCAATAAAACCATGAATTGACGAAGCGGCAGAAGTTACAATTCATGGGCCATTGGATTACCTCTCTGTAGCTAAATGTTCAACAGGCTCACTGTATATCCTGAAAGTCCCAAATTCCATATCCGGTGGGGTTATAGGTACATACTTCTGAAGAGTTCTAGATTAGGATGAGATTGCCGTCTAATACAGCCTGATTTTCAATAATCTTCTAAGTGACATCAGCTCGTGATCTAACTTCAAAAAAATACACTCATATTTCGGTGACGTTTGCGGGGTGTACAGTATTTATTGTTCACTTAGATATATTACCTTTATGGGATATGGGATTTTTAATATGAAAAACACATTCTTGTTGTTTTTATCACTTAATAGTTGCAAGGAAGTTATGGAAAGTATATTGTACTCTTTATTAATAGTATTTCTTTTATAAATTTTGTAGCTAGAGCAGAATCCATCGTCCCGGGTAACAAGTCCTGGAACCTTTAACAATGATAAAGAATTGCTACAAAGTGCATTCGTTATGTCACTTACGCCTAAGGAATACACAGAATTGATGATCAGTTTAAAACCTTCGAAAGTGTTACAAATCACTGGAAAAATGATACTAAAACTGATACAGTTAAAATGATCAATTTTGATTGGATTGACTGTAATGAAAAAAAGAAAGAGGATGTGAAGGCTGATAAACTTAAAATGTGTATGAATGGTTGGCTTATACCACAAGGTTATCTGAGTGAGAAATCCCAGCATTCCAATTCAGACAAGGTAAGCTGGTTGTTGTTTGTTATTCAACTGAATAAGTCTGTATATGTGCTCGATAGTGAAGATGATAGAATCTCAATGTGTAGAGTAATAGAAATGTTAATTACGGTGGGATTGATGGTCTGTGGATTGTAAGTACTTGTTGTTATACAACTGCAGACAGTCGCCTTATCTGATTTCATCTTAAGCTGCTTGCCAGGACCTACACTGTTGACTTTTTTACAATGTGTTATTAGATGATGTGGCTTTTTGTATTCCTTTTAATTTTCGAGCGGGACATAGAGCTTCTAGCTTGAGCTGTGAAGTTTCAGTGCCAGTGGTGATATCCCCTTTTACCAGGAGGGGTTATTAGCATCATGCCCAACCTTCTCTTTACCGGTATTACTACTGGATAAGCGAGGTCTGTAAGTATGTCAGCCGATATTAAACTCCGGACCAAGTGCGTTGTTGAAGAGTGCTCAACCACTGAACCCCATTGTAGTACTGTGAAAAAATTATTCTCTACTGAATCTTTTATACTTTTATTGGCTACTTAGTTCTGTTTAATTAATATTGATCATGCAGCTTTAATAAATGATGAAGATTGCTTACATATTTATTTACTTACTTGTGATTACGATGAACGTTTACGTTGTAAATATTTTGTTATTCGGAACTACTGACTTCATTGTGACATCGTTGTATAAGCATGATGACAAAAGCGTGGAGACGAAAAATAGTTAACTTAATAAGTAAGAAGAATGTAAGACCAGGATGACTTTTAAAAATAAATTGCCTCAATTTCAAATAATTTAATTTCAACATTTTTACACATCCAACTCACCTTACTTATTATGGTATAGTATTTCTGGATGGTAAAATAGTTGATGATGCAGGGAAAGAGAAGTTCATTCTTTTATATTAAGACTGTGTCATGTTTTGGAAAATCCCCAATTCAGGTCTTAATTGAAACCAGCATTTCCTAAATGTAATAGTAATTGTGTGGAGTAATCCTTCTGTTACCTTAAAAAAAGTTACTTGTAAGCAGTCATCAGAGTTTTTTGAGATGATGGTGATTTAAAAGTTAATGTGAATAAAGATAAACAAAAATAATCGTAATATATATTTATTTAATCTAAAAGTCATCAAAGAATACTGTATTCATTTGCACGAAATGTAGTAAATTTCAAATATAAGCACTAAACAAAACATAGTTTCAAATAAGGTCATGGGTGTGGCAAAGTATAATCGCAAAAGAATGGTTACTGAACAGAGAATATCCTTTCGATAACTGCATCATCAGGTTCTACAGCTGTATATTCAAAACAGTGAGTGGATTAGTGTTATTAGCAACATATTATTGTTTAAATAACATCGAATCAATAATAATATCAGTGGATTACAGTTCGACAGCATCAACATAACAACACATTGGATATCACAAAAATTAGGAAAAATAATAACACAAAATTCGTGAATTTATATTCTCCACTGAAGGCTGGCTGGACTTGTTTCTTCTGCACACAGATCACCATTTGTTTCATGCGAATCACGATATCCTCTGCTGTTTCGAGTATGCAATACCTCAAATTTTTTGGCAATTTGTTTGCTACCTGACAGATGATAGAGAAGGACTCTTCAATAGTAGCTTTGTGTCCGTTTGGATCAGGTGTTTTAATATCTAACTGTTGATGGTTTTTACAACACCTTTATACGGCCACACTAACAGATGTCCCGAGCACGAAAAATCAAGTTCATATAGCAACGGCTAATATAACTCGCTCCACAAGCGCAGTTGAAGTGGTAGATACAATTAAGAATGGCTAGTCTAGGCACTTCTCTTTCAATCAACGAATCAACACAGGTCGTGCAGAAAATAAGACTTGTAGTTTGCCAGTGTTAAAAGTTCTTGTACTGGTTTTCTTAACTTCTTCATAACTATTTTGCTAGGTATATCGCCGTTGTTTACGGATAGTGAATGGTCCTTTTCAACTTTCTTAGTCATATGTTTCCCAATGAATTTGTCTGGAAAGCTAATTCCAATCCAGGTATCACATGTAATCCTTAGTTCATCTTCAAATGCCTCTTCTGAACATATAGCTCTAACGCTAGGCTGAGAGTCTTTAATAAATTTCTTTTGAACTGGAGAGGACGAAGCTATGAAAATGTGTCCATATGCTTTTCCTATGCAAATTTCTCTTTATATTACCATCTGGTTTTCTTGTAAGGAGGACATCTAGGAAGGTAATTCTATTTTGGGATTCCTCTTTGCACGTGATTCATAGCAGAATGTACTTCAGTGAATTGAGTTATTATTGAGTTCCTGTCCAAATCATTATCATAAATAATAAAAGTATCATCCCTATACCGGTAATAAAGTGAGAAATTTGTGATAAGGTTTTTCAGAGATCCATTTTCTAGTTTATTTAGAAAGAAATTTGCCACTGGGGAGCCCATATCCACCCACTCCACTTATCTGTAAAGCGTGCCATCAATTTCGAAATTTACATTCATGGTACACCTTAATAAAGATTCATTTAGGATTTCCGCTGGGATGCCAATATGTATTGGCTGGTTATACACTTGTTCACATATGTAGTTAACTTTTTCCACAAGAGGTACATTTGTGAATAAAGACGTTATTTCCAAAAATACATAGTTTTATCCTTGATATTAATATCTTTAATTTTGTCTACGAATTCGAATACATCTTTGACACTATGCTTCACTATCCACTCTTGCAAGGTTTGTGAATATTTACTAACCATCTAACCACAGCATGGTTGGGCGAATTTCAAATATCAATTATTGGTCTTAACGGCACCTCTTCCCCTCCAGTTTATGTACATTAGGTGAGCCATACAATACTGGCGTGTACGTGCCCGTTAGCCTGAGTCTTCATATATTCTGTCGAATTTAGTATTAAAAGATACCTGAAGTATCATACTGAGTGAAATATCATTTCTAATATGGTTTATTTAAAAATAGTTAACTCATCAAAGTGAACTCAGAAATGGACAGTTTTTTGAAAGATTATTCGAGAGAATGTCGGCTCAGTTTTATTTGTATTCCTGTTCAATTTATGATTATATCTAATCATTTTATTTAAAAACATATTCACCTGCTTTTATGTCAGTTCAAAATTTTTGGACACATTCAAAAAGTTAGGAAATATTACGAAACCGACTGGAGAAAGTAAAGTCACTTGAGAATATAAAAAAGTAAATTTACTTTGATTAATTATCGTTTGTAGTGTAGGAAAAGCTCACTTGTTCTACTGTGATTTCAGTTTAGCAGATCGACTGGTATTCATAAATTTATAATAATTTATTCATCCTTGATCAAAATAAATGGATGAATGATTTTTCAAGTCGAGTTAGTACACTTTTCTGACATTACAATTAAAAGAAGAGATAGATCAGCAAGGAATATTGTTTTCAGCAGTTCTCTTCACAGCTGTACAGTCATACACTACACTAAAATGTCATGAAAATGCTTATAAAGGTTATTTGATAATATCTGTTTGTATCAGAACATTGGAAATTAAATATCAGGGAGATTAATGAATAAATTGCAAAATTTTGTTGAGTAATTTTACGTACAAAAACAACAGGTGGCGAATAGAGTTGAGAAATGATTATCAATAATAGTATAAGCACTTGGAAACAGGGATATGAGGATTCCGAATATATAGAGTGAGGAGTTTGGAAAGAAAGAGAAAAGAAGAAAAACGAACGAATGTGGATTATATGCCAATTAGCATACAAGTTATAAAAGGCTTAATGCCACAGAAGTGCCTGAAATTGGACAAACGGCCTTTTTTAGTTCAGAGTTATTTTTGTATACAGTCAGAGATTCAGCTTTGGGCAGAAAAATATAGATGAAAATCACGTAAAAAGACTTGATCTCGCCTTATGTATCGCTCTGGAAAATTTCTGTACTGATTAGGGCCGGTTTGTGGGAACAAGATGCTCAAGGATCGAAATATGGGTTCGTTCAGCTTCGCTTTTTGACAACTATAGTGGAAGATGTTCTTCTGCACATTTATCCAATATCCTGCTGGTAATACCTATGCACTTAGCAGTTGAATCACTATATACTAAAAAATTTCACTAATGAAAGTTGCAATTTAATCACAGTAAACGGCCAGTTGACACCAATCCTCCAACGAGAGCTGAAGTCTTGAACACAATCAAGCTTCTGAAAGCTGGAAAAGCAGCTGGACCAGATGGAATACCCCCTGAAGCACTGAAAGCGGACCCAGAGACGACAGCAGACATGCTGACTCCATTATTGCAAAAGGTCTGGAAGGAGGGAAAGGTGCCTACTGACTGGAGGAAAGGTTACCTCGTGAAACTACCAAAGAAGGGCGACTTACGCCCACTCTGCAAGAACTGGCGAGGAATCATGCTCCTGTCGACGCCAAGTAAAATCCTGAGTCGGATCATCCTGGAGGGAATAAAGGACGCACTGGAGACAGAACTCCGACCAGAACAAGCTGGATTCAGGAAAGGCAAATCGTGTTCTGACCAAATCGCAACTCTACGCATCATCATCACAGAACAAAGCATGGAATGGCGATCAAACCTCTACCTCAACTTTATAGACTTTGAGAAGGCCTTCGACAGCGTTGATCGCGAAGTAATTTCGAAATTACTCAAGTACTACGGCGTACCTCAAATATACATCAAGGTTATTCATCAGCTGTATGACAACGGCACATGTCAAGTCATCCACAACGGAAAACTCAGCGAGGCGTTTAGAATAAACACAGGAGTCAGAAAAGGGTGCTTATTATCCATCACCAATGAATGATAGTCCTAATTGTGGTGGACTGACGGATTATGCGTCAGACAGTGGGAAACGAGAAACGGGACAGGGATATCCTGGACCGACGTGAAGAACCTAGAAGACCTAGATTTCACGAGTGGATGATTTATGTTTGATGTCACACAAAATTGAAGACATACAAGCGAAAACCACCAAACTGATCGAAGAAGCAGACAGCGAAGACAGGAATCCAA